TTATACTTATAAACCTAATAGATAGAGTGATTCAAGAGGAAGGTTTATATGTTATTTTAATTTTCATATTTTAATGCATAATATCTGAAAATTGAATTTCGAAAATTTAGAAAATCAAGGATCTAATATTTGCATATAAAATTATATTCGTTACAAATCTTTGAATTTCTCGGCTTATTTTGTACTACAACACGCCTGTATTATACATATAAACCTTCCTCTTGAATCACTCTATCTTCTGCTAAAACTACATTAAAATCCGTTGCGTAATTTAAAAGATATAAGCGAAAAATAGCAGCGGCAACTTTGTTTTTTTTTTATTTTTTTATATCATAATTTGAGCGCGTTTGACCGCAATCTCACCTGATGTTAAGTGATGATGTGGTCTAAGCTGTTACACGCAACCTCAAATAATACCTATTCACTCTTGACTTAAAAGACCCAATGTTGTTTTATACTATGTAAATATTACAACTGTATCAGTTGAGTTTATAATAATGAATAAAGTTAAATCTAACTCGCATAAAAACAATAAAAAAATACATTACGCCATGGAGAACATCCCTCTGTTTTGAAGTCGGTTGTATAAACAGTTGAAAGTTGAGAAATTGCGATTTAAAACTTGTAGATTAGTGTACAGCGCCATCTAGTGGATCTCTAAAGCAACATGTACTAGCACGTTAACGAACTCCACTTGTAACTACTAGATGGCGCCACCGAAATTTATAAAACACGAAATTTATTAAGTCGAATATACGAATATATATATAAATAATTTAATCTAAATATTTAATTTTTCATAGCGTTGATTCTGTGTTACTATAATAGGATCTGCGTCAATAATAATATAATATTTAATAAGTATTTTAAAATAATATTAAAATATTTTAAAACGAAAGTAACTTTCTTTACACGTATTGTATTTTCTTTTTTGACTACTCTAATGCTGTTGGCTGCAGCTGGCCTTTACAGCTTCACCAAACGATAGGGGGCGAGTGCAGATGGCACACCAAACCTGCAGAAGGACTTATGAAGCGACTGAGGGCCAAAAAGTCTATAGAATTATTATTTATATATTTATTATTAAAAACAACAATGACCTATAAATTTATGTGACTGTGTATATTAAAAAGCATGAATGCTTTGTGCATAGGGCCGTATATAATACAACAAATTACTTATATGCTAAATTTATATATAACAGGTATACAAATCTTATTACAACTTACTTTACTTACTTTTTAAATCTATCGATAGTATACATACACGGCAGCAAAATACAAAATGGCTGACCTAGTTTGGCGCTATACAGAAATACCTACAAAATAAAATAAATAATAAGATAATATAACTATTATTTAAATTCAAGTTGAATGCGGAATCGCAAGATATATTCAAATAGAATACCAAGAATGCTAGGCGAATGGCGTCGACCTAGGGAAATATAACATTTTACATAAAATCGATGTTTTCTTCGGTCTGTTCGCAATGTTCGCTAGTGTACGATTTAGACCGTGTATTTTTTTATGGATAAGAATGAAATGATGTTACTAAGGGTTTTATAAAATGAGCATGAGGTCAGGTTCATTTTCAAACGTACAAATACGCCATCTGATTGTATATAAAATAACAGATTTATTTTAGCCTTTATTTTAAATTTACAGCCAATTAGCAGTATTCAAAAAGAAAAAAAAAGTATTTATGTAACATCTAATTACACCATTTTTAGTAATGTTGATACAGGCTGACCTCCACGCGGTTTTCCAAAAATCCAACTTGAATGACGAGCGTGCATGTCAATAGTTGTTCATGCACGGGATTTTCATTTAATGTTAGACATAGACACCTATATAAGTAAAAATGTAAATAAACTGTCTTTATAAAAAAGAAATTCAGTTGGGTTCCTTGCCAGTTCTTCTCAACTGAATCTGTATACTCAACTGGACAGTAGGGAAAAAATATAAAATTAAAAAATTACGTTAATAAGCGGCTACAATGTCCAACATGAATAAATAATTTTTGATTTGATTTTGAAATCATCGTGATAAATTCCTGGTGAATTTGTCACGATTTGCTGACCTGACTTCATGTTCATCCTGTCATCAGTGTAAACCGTTATGCAGGCGGGATCATTCTATTATCATACATACATACATTTTGACGGCCTCGATGGTATAGCGGTTTAGCACACTGCCTTACTTCCAATGGTAGTAGGTTTGATTCCTCGCACGACATAAACATTTATATTTATGAATTTGTATTGGTTTGGGTGTTTTTTAGATATGTAATATGTATGTATTTATGAAAAAATAATATATCTATGTATTTGTATCTGATCGAGTACTCATAACACAAGCTTTAGCTAGGTTAACTTGGGCCTAGATGGCGCTGTGTGAATTGTCCTGAGATTATTATTATTATTATTATACACATGAAACACTCACACCTATATAAACAATCATACAGATGACTACAAATGTTCTACTGCGCTTGAACTTTCTGGAATCGAACCCCCGACCATTGGAAGAATTCTACAAACCTTTCGACTTAGTAACCAAATTACAATACCGTATAGGTATATAGATTCAATTAAAGATTACAATGGAAACTGTGCAATCTTAAATCCAGTCACGTGTGTACAGGCTTCAGAAAACATCTGAATAACACTCTTGAGATACGGAGAAATTTATTAACATTACAAATACAATTTATGTGTGAACGTGCAAATGCGTGCCAGGAAAGGTTGAGGTGACATTTGGACAGAAACTTCCCAATGACAAGGCTTCACGACTTAAGTCTTCGATGTATAAGGTAAGCAGAGCCAGATTAACTGCTCGCGATATGGAGTCGTTCAAGTATTAAGTAAGCAGATTTATTACAGTTATTTACCACCCCCTGCGCTTCTCAATACATTTATGAAAATATCATCTATGCCAGAAGGAATATAGACAGTTTCAAAAGAGTTAGTGATTGCACTAATAAAAGCTTACGTAACAATAACAAACTGATTTTACCTAAATGTCGTTTGGCTAAAGTTAGTAATTCGTTTTATGGCAATTGCGTAAGGTTTTACAATAAAATACCAGAGTCTGTTATAAATCTGCCTGAAAAAAGATTTAAATATCAAATAAAACAGTTCCTTTGCAAAAAAGCTTACTATAAAATTGAAGAATTCGTTAACGATGATAATGTTTATATAGAAAAACTTTAAATCTATAGCACTGACAATATTATCTGATTACATTAATAATGAGTGCGTAGCGACTTCTAGGTTGATTATCGCATGCCTCTTACTTGTTATACTGTAATTATTTATATAAAAAAAAACATCTATTAAAAAGAGCAACACACAAGTTTCTTGCTCATTCTTCTTGTGATGAATCTGCGTTCCGAATGAGTGGTAGAATCAAAATATGACTATTCAAAAGTGCTTGTAATGAGTTTATTTGAATAAAGATTATTTCTATTTCCTCCATCCCCTTTTTCAGCAAAAGTAAACAACCTTACCCCCTCTAAGAGCGTTGTTTACTTACCCCCTATGATTACGTAAACATTTTTCAATTAATATATTGTTTTTTAGCAAAGATAGTGTGAGTGTTGCCATTCGTGTAAAAAAGTAAATAACTACAGATGACGTAATCTTCATCTAGACTCCCCCACCCCCCATGTCATGCAAAATAAGCAAAGCAAAGACCCCCGCCCCCCTACAGTGCTTACGTAACACTTGAACGACCCCTATATACAACATTTGACATGTCCACATTTTTTAAGTCTTTTTTACAGGACAATTTACAAAACGCCATCTAGTCCACATAAGCAGATGGTATGGGTACTAGACAACTGATATAATACTTATGATTCTTTTTGTAAATACATAAATAATATACATAGAAAACATCCAGAGTGTCCTTTTTGTTGAAAGATTTAGGCTATTGTCAGGTTCTAAGACCTGTAGTGGTACAGGTCTGCGACCTGTATAGATCTATTGTGCTCGGCCTTTTTTAGAGTTCGCTACCTAGACCCGTCAGGGACAAGAATTGAGAATATTCTTAAGAACGATGGTTTTTATCTCCTCAGGATAGAGTGTAAACTTTCCAAAGGAGATATTTCGTTTATACATGAGTGGGCTACAGCCACATAGGATATGTAGTGGCGTTTCCTATTCAGTTTAGCAAAATCTGCAGATATTTCTTGTGCACAGGCCTAGGTTTGCCATGTGTTTGTTCCCCAGACTGATACAAAAATATACTCATGAATACAAATGTTTGTACTGTGCGAGGAATCGAACTCTCGACTATCGTAACTAAAGCGGTGTGCTAAACCGATAGACCATCGAGGTCGTCGTAATTAGAATGGTAAATAAGCTGATGGGGTACCACTTAGTGGTAAGTGGTAACCGTTATAAGTGGTATGTGGCATTGTCATGTGTCTTGGTACTTCTCATACGTAGCCATTCTAGAGTACGATGACATGCCTCTTATCCTGAGTTCCGTAAGTTATTGATAGTTTCATCAAATGAATGTTAGAATAAAAATAAAAACATTGTTAAAATTTAAATTATAGACTTTCGAAAAAAAAAAAGATATTTATTATCCATGTAAATTGGAAATATCGTATATTAATTAAAATATACAAAAATCATAATAGAAATTAATATGAAATAACTTATTTTTTGTCATTTATAAAATTGCAAGCTGTTTCAAATGCAAAGAAGAACTAACCATCTACCCAGTGTATACAAAATGTCTAATTTAGTACGTAATAGTAATATAATATTTCACTAGATGGCTCTAATACCAATATTTTAGTTAATAATTTAAAAAAATCATATAGTATAATTAAAAACATTAAATTAAAAATACACTATAAAATTTCATATAATAATGTAATTGATAAATAATATTTAGTAAAAAATATTGATAAGTAACTTAAAATGAAATCAAAACTAATAATAGAAAGTTATTTACAATGGCAACACCATAACCTAAACGTCAAAAATTGTTTATCAGTGCTTCAGTTTTTGTGTTTATAGTAATTGTCGTAAATTTATGTAATTTTTATTAAATGTGATTGTAATTGTAATTTAAAGCAATGTCGGAAGAAGACGAAAGTTACTGTCGTCTATGCGCAGAACCAACACCCGCGGAACAATTAATACAAAGCGATGGGGATGTTGGTAAAAATTCTAAAATCTCCACAAAAATGCTTTGGATTAACGTTAAAATTAATAATTCACTGCCTACTGCTATATGTTTTGCTTGTTTCGACATGTTGGAGCGTACCTGGCAGTTCCTACACAACGTGCGCTGCGCACAGCAGAAATTGAACGACATTTTCTGTAAAAAAACCGAAAACGATTCCTCCACACCTGAAATCAAAACTGATAACTCTATAGACGCTGGGAAGCCGATCAATAAGGATTGGGAAGACTTCCAGGATACGAAATTGGAGGCAAAAGACGAATCTCCTATCGACAGTCTACAGATCATTACAGTTGATCCAAATTCCCTAATGGATGTTGATTTGAACATAGTTAAGGCTGAACCTGACAGTGAGGATGATGTAGAACTTATAGGTGATGGGTTCGATTCCACAGACAGTGATATACCACTCCAATTGTCTGTGAAGAAGAAGAAATTGAAGAAAACCAAAAAAGTAACGGAGAAGGTAACAAATGAAGATGATAGAGATGATGAGTTAAGTTGGGATAACTATATGTGTCGGTGTGCAAACTGTGACGCCCAGTGTAAAAACATGTCATTGCTAAGATTGCACTCGTTGCATATACATTCCTGTTGTTGTGTCTTCAAATGCTCGGACTGTGGTAAAGTAATCGGCAGCTTTAGGACTTTCGTGAACCATGTACGGATACATAATAAAATATTAAGGTATTACTGTGAATTCTGCAATAAACGTTTCACACGATCTGCATACACGAAGAAACACCGAAACAACGTTCACCGAGATGCGTTCCTAACGATGTGTGGTAACTGTGGTGCATCATTTGATACACACGAACAGTTAAAAGACCATATTCTAATATACTCGAAGAATTTGAAGAAGAAATCGTTAAAACACAAAGACGTGGAGACGGACTTGAAATGCGACCATTGTAGTAAAGAATTTAAATCTAGAAGTAATTTAGTCCAACACAAACTCGTTCATACTGAGCGGAGAAGGGATTTCTCGTGCCATGTGTGCGGCAAGATGTTTTACACGAAAGGAACTCTAGGAACCCATATGATGACACATGAAGATACAAAACCATACAAGTGTGAGTACTGTCCAATGGCATTCCGTGCTCGTGGTAACCTCCAATCCCATATAAGTCTACATTCAGCTGCGAAGCCATTTGTTTGCGAGCAGTGTGGCAAGAGTTTCCGAGTGAAACGTCACTTAAAGTCCCATTCTATTGTACATACAGACTTAATGCCATATGAATGTGAATATTGCCATAAAGCTTTCCGTTTTAAGACTCGGTTAAACTTACATCTACGTCAGCATACGGGGGCAAAGCCCTATACTTGTGTTTACTGCCAACGAGACTTCACGAATGGCTCTAATTTTAAAAAACATATGAAAAGAAGACATAATATTGATACATCACGGAAAAAATACAATAATATTGTGAGTGAAAAAAGCTTAGATGGTAGCGATGAAGTTAATAGTAATCAGACTTAATATAAGCTTTCTAAATTAGAACTTATAGCTATTTTCAAAATGTTTAAACTACTACAAACTTACTTAAAAGACATCCAGGGACTAGAAACATTACTAGATAACGCCTCAGAGCTGACTCATTGGACCAGCATCATGAATTTAAAGGAATACAAACGATTTAAGAAAAAACAGTCAGATTAGACTAAAAAACATACACAAACAAACAGAAAATTATAAAATTGAATATTTTAAAACCGTCAAAATAGGTCCAGCCGTTTCAGAGATTAGCAACAACAGACATATAACTATATACAATGTGTACACTTTCATATGCATTTAGTGAGAAGCTGTTGGTATAAAAATACAAATGGACAGTTAAATCTTATTTATTTTTATAGAAATTATGTCTCATCTACAAATATTTAATTAAATCATCACAATTTTGTTCAATTCTCACAAACAACAATGATTTTTATTTGTTTTTTTGTAAATAAAATATATTTTATATACATACTTAGATTCTAAATTGTTTTACTTACTACTTACAATTAGTTATGATATTAAGGTAGTCTCACAAAAGGAAAAAATATATTTTGTGTATAAACTATCGTTTTATTTTTTTTAAGACTGCAGTAGAATAAAAGTCTATTTATAATTTAATAAAAAAAACATTTAAAAGAACTAAGTCTAAAAACTCTAAAGAACCAACGGCCTTGGTGGTCCAGCAGTTTCGCACACAGCGTTACTTCCGATGGTCGCGGGTTCGATTCCTCACACGACACAAATATATGTATTCATGAGTATGATTGTTTGTATCGGTGTCGGTGTTTTCTATGTATAATATGTCTGTATTTACAAAAAAAATATCTATGTATTGACATTAGTTATCTAGTACTCATAACACAAGCTTTAGCTAGATTAACTGGGGTCTAGATGGCGCTGTGTGAATTGTTCTGAGATTATTAATTACTAGCTGTGCCGCAGATTCACCCGTGTGAAATTTATAGCCTATATGTTATTCTGATGTATAAGCTATATTATTGTAAAATTTCGTCAAAATCCGTTCAGTAGTTTTTGCGTGAAAGAGTAAAAAACATTCATATTCACAAACTTTCGGAACTTTTCGGAGGTCCCGGGAAGTGTTCGAAGTTTCCCTCTGCCACATCCTCTCTAATCCCCCGTCCAATTCAAACGGGGATCCAAATTACGACGGCCTGAGCCGAGGTTCGAACCACTAGCGATGCCCTCAGAGTAAAGTCATATCCGTCAGGCGGGAATTAGCTCCATATTTCCTTCCTTTAGTTTGGAGTGCCACCTGCACTCGCCCTCTATCGTCAGGTGAAGCTGTACAGGCCAGCTGCAGCCAACAGCGTTACAATATTCCGAAAAAAACCTTTCTACAACACGATTGACTCCTGGAATGCTAAGTGTCTCACGTCTCTCATAATTTTACACATAACTGGCCCGCCAGTATAATTCTCTCTACTAATTACATAGTATAAAACAAAGTCGTTGTCGCTGTCTGTTCCTTGTATGCTTAAATCTTTAAAACTACGCAACGGATTTTGAAGCGGTTCTTTTTAATAGATAGAATGATTCCAGAGGAACGTTTATATATATAATACATGTACACCCGTGCGAAGACGGGGTAAGGAGCTAGTTACTAATATAAATGCGAAAGTGACTCTGTTTGTGTCGCTTTCACGCCAAAACTAATGAATCGATTTAAATGAAATTTGGTACACAGATAGTCTAAACCCTGAGAGACATATTTCTTAGCGCAAAAAAGGGTTGTAAGGGGTTGAAAGCAGAGATAAAAGGTTGTATATAATATCACATTTTTTTAAGTACAACGATGAAACTTTTTTGGGTTAAATCTAACTAAATATATTTTCTTTATTTGATTAAGGTCACTATTCGTTCGACGCGGACGAAATCGCAGGCACAGCTAGTCTCATAAAAGAAACGATGTTTTAAATAACTGGCCGCCAGTATAATTATCTGTAAACTCCCAATTTTAAATAGGTTTTTAGGCAGGAAATCGTAACGTATGGATGAATTGCTCGACGGGTTGTAAACCTCGTAATTTTTTGTCTATCTTCCTAACTTCTAAACTGTTTTTTCTGCTGAGTTTTACCCAGTCGGTTGTCAATCAATGCACGGAATCGTAACGCAATTACGTTATCGGAAACTGTTATATGGTTATGAAAGTATTAAATTTTTTTTAAACTACTTTTTTTGGGATTATTTGTTATTTTTAAACTTTCGTGTCTAATATACATTATTTAAATGATTAACCGGGTGTTAACAACTTTCGAACTTTCGGCGAACTTTCGTTAAACAATCTAGTGACGGTAGATGAAGAAAATCTGCTGTCACCTATCTACATTGACATCGCTGTTACTCCAGTCAGCTCGTGACCACGACTAGTGCAACCTAGTCGAAACGTCGAGACAGGTAAATACCTTTATTTGCCATAAAATTATTCGTGTTAAGACCCGGTTAATAATTTAAATTATTTCTAGTTTTCATGCCCCTAACTTACCAGTTGGTTGTCCACCCCTAACATTTATTTTTTGGATACTTTTATTTATTTTTTTTATAATATTTGACAACCTTAAATTTTCACCCTTCCACCGTTAACCCTAATTTTTAATAGCGATTTTATTTTGCAACGCAAAACAACGTTTCCGGGAACAGCTATTTATATATAAGGATGTATTCATATAAACATAGGATACAATACGCTGCTTGGATTAGTGTTCTCATCTCGAAAACTCAGCATGTAAACCGATATCATTCACGCTCCAGAAAACCGACTTTGTTGTACTCAACGAGAATTTACGGTCTGAAGGATTAGCGCAAACGTGACTTACTATTTGCAATGACATTATCTAATTTAAATATATGTATATAACTCAAAGGTGACTGACATAGTGATCTATCAACGTACAGCCCAAACCACTGGACGGATCGGGCTGAAATTTGGCATGCAGATAGATGTTATGACGTAGGCATCCGCTAAGAAAGGATTTTGATTAATTCTATCCCCAATGGGATAAAATAGGGGATGAAAGTTTGTATAAAACTCTGTCAATTTTAAACCGATCGGGCTGAGACTTTGTAGGCATAAAGCTACTATAACGTAAGCATCCTCTAAGAAAGGATTTTGATAGATTCCATCCCTATGGGGATACATTAACGGGAGCGAGCCGCGTGCAAAACGATAGTTTAAATATATATTATAACTAACCCACCCCGGCTTCGCACGGGTGTACATGTATTATATGTACATATAAACCTTACTGTTGAATCACTATCTATTTAAAAAAAACACTTCGTAATCCGCTGCGTAGTTTTAAAGATTTAACATACATAGGGACAGCAGCGACAGCAACTTTGTTTTGTACTATGTAACTAGTTACTCGCCCCGGCTTCGCTCGGGTGTACATGTATTATACATATAAACCTTCCTCTAGAATCACTCTATCTATTAAAAAAAACCGCTACAAAATCCGTTGCGTAGTTTTAAAGATTTAAGTATACATAGGGACAGACAGCGACAGCGAATTTGTTTTATACTATGTAATGATGATATCGCTATTAAAAAATAGGTACTGGTGATAGAAAGGTGAAAATTTAGGGTTGTTTTTTTATTTTCTTATGACATTTAAAAATACATAATTTTTAAATGCCATAAGAAAATAAAAGTCGACCAAAGTGGAAAAAAGTTTTTTGGGGTAGGGATATAAAAAATTGTTATAAACCTATTCTCAGACCTAGTGAATATACATATAAAATTTCATCAAAATCGGTCAAGCCGTTTCGTATGAGTATAAACACTAAACCTGTGACACGAGAATTCTATATATTAGACTAGCTGTCCCGGCAAACGTTGTTTTGCCATATATATTAATAACGCTATAAAAAAATAGGGGTTGATGATAGAAGGGTGAAAATTTAGGATTGTATGTGTTTTTGTATGTTGTATCATAAAAAAAATGGAATTAAAAATTTTGTCTAAAATATAAAAAAAAATCTAGGGGCGGACTACCCCTAACATTTAGGGGGATGAAAAATATATGTTGGCCGATTCTCAGACCTAGTCAATACGCTCACAAAATTTCATGAGAATCGGTCAAGCCGCTTCGGAGGAGTATGGGAACGAAAACTGTGACACGAGAATTTTATATATAAGATGGATATGTCCTTACTAATAATATTACATATTTTTTTTTATACTATGATGGTGGCAATCAAGCATACGGCCCATCTGATGGTAAATGGTATCCGTAGCCTATGAACGCCTGAAACACCAGGGGTATCACTTGCGCGTTGCCGACCCTTAAGAAACCTTAATATACCCTTCTTGAAAAACCCCATGCTGTAGTCTCGTGGGAATACCTCGACAGGAAGTTCATTCCACAATCTAAGTGTACACGTAATATATAAATGCGAAAGTAATTCTGTCTGTCGTAGATCATACTGTGTCTTCGTAAATTAGGTCATGATTTTTTTTCGGACTACTCTAATGCTGTTGGCCGCAGCTGGCCTTTACAGCTTCACCGGACGATAGGGGACGAGTGCAGATGACTCCAAACCAAAGGAAAGACTTATGGAGCGGCTGAAGGCCAACTCCGGCCTGACGGATACGACTTTAATCTGAGGGCACCGCTAGGGGTTTTTTAAGAATAATAATATATTGATGCCCCCGCCTGCGCTAACGGTTTACGCTGGCGGGGCACCAGTGGAGGATGATAAGATGAGCATAAGGTCAGGTCAGTTAGCCCATCGTTGTAAATTCGCCATGAATTTATCAGGTTTCCTGGGGAACCTCGTGGAGGTCGACGTGACATGGTACATTGCTAGGAATTGGGTTATTATTCCACATTACTAACAATCACATTTCCCCCTAACGCTAGAGATTCGATTGGCAGTGTGGAATCGAACCCGTGACCGTAGGGAGTAAGGTCTGGTTTTTTTAAAATTAATAGTTACTCTGACTGCATTCGTCTCCAACGAGATATTGATTGCGTCAAACAATGGAGTGAGAAGAATAACTTAATGTTTAATACTAACAAATGTTCAGTATTAACATTTAGTAGACTAAAAAAGCCTATTAATTTCAATTATTGTCTAGGCTCCACGTGCTTACCAAGAGTTAACTCTGTTAGCGATTTAGGGGTATTAATGAGTGAGGATTTATCCTTTAGTAAACATATCGTAGGGATGTGTCGCAGAGCATACAGATCTCTAGGATTTGTGCTGAGGCAGGCCCAAAACCTGAATAGTATTGAAGCTATCAAAATTTTGTATAATGCTTACGTTAGGAGTATTTTAGAAAGTAATGCTATCATATGGAATCCACACGAGGCAAAATATTCAATGATGATTGAACAATTACAAAAAAAGTTTATGAGATGGTTATACCATAAACAATATGGTTATCGCGTAGGTTATCCTCATATATATCCGAGCACCTTCTTGTTAGGTATGTTGAGATATAATGCCCTTGAGGTAAGACGAAACATATCACTTCTGGAGTTCATATATAAAATAATCAAGGGAATTAGATATGATCCAAATATCTTGGGTCTGATCAGCTTTCAGGTCCCAGAAATTAATAAACGCGATCGTAAACATATAATATTTGCTCTGCCCCGGTGCAGAACCTCAGGTGCTGATCATGCACCAATCCCAAGAGCACTTCGTCTGCTTAATGAGGTATCTGTAATTTGTCAACTTGACATATTTAACTGTACTGCCCCAGAGTTTCACAGAGCGGTAACAAGTTTTGTGGAGTCACAATATTAGAATAGGTATTATTCTTGTCTAAATTATTATTGTTATTGTAATTTCTGTAGTTGTTGTTTTCTATATATATATGTATGTATGTATGTGTATATGTTATATATATATATATATATATATATATATATATATATATATATATGTATATGTATGTATATATGTATGCATGTATATATAGAAAACAGTTATTGTTACTATAATTATTATTACTATTAATCTATGTATTGCGTAAGTTTAATCCTTGATGAGTGCATTGGTATTATACTGTAATACTCACCGAGAGCATGTAAATAAATAAATAAATAAATAAAAAAAAAATAATGAAATCGCATAACGAAGCCGTGACGGCTTAATAGTTGACTTATTATACTATAATCTATACATATAAATAAAATTGGAGTGTCTGTTTGTAATATTGAAATAACCGTTTTTTACTACATGCATATGAATATAAATACGGTACATACACCAAAATAACATTTTTACAACTTCAGTCTGTCTGTTGATTGAACCGATTTTGACGGGACTTTTTTTGGCAGGTAGCTAATGTAATAAGGAGTAACTTAGACTACTTTTATTTTAGGAAAAACCTTTAATTTAGAATAATGAAGTTAAATTCCACGCGGACAAAGTCCCGGATACAGCTAGTATTATATTATAATACAATAAGCTTCACTAGGTATCACATCTTTGTAACATATAATTATTAATGTTTGAGATGGTGTTAGCAATAGAAAATGTTCTAAATCTTATTCGAAACCATAGATTAAATATTAACAGATGTGCTAATTAGAAAATAGGCAGTAACTACCTTTTTTATTCGAAGATAATTCCTCATGGAGACCCGTCCGCCCCGGGGGAACAAGCGAGTACTGAGAGAAACACTATAAACTCCAAGGTATCCCGGCAAAGGGCCTATTGCTAGAGTCGCTGGATCGCAATGACAGTCCACAGCGACTTAGGCGGAGGCAGTAACTACGTATCTGTTGTCATATGTTCAAATCAAACAAATCAAATCAAAAACGATTGATTTATCTATTTACTAGCTGTCCCGACAAACGTTGTTTTGCCTCAAAATAAAAAAAAAATTAGGGGTGGACTACCCCTAACATTTAGGGGAATGAAAAATAGATGTTGGCCGATTCTCAGACCTACTCAATACGCTCACAAAATTTCATGAGAATCGGTCGAGCTGTTTCGGAGGAGTATGGGAGGGAACGAAAACTGTGACACGAGAATTTTATATACAAGATATATCTATTCATTAGGCGTCATACTCGTGAACGGGTGCTTGTGGGGACTGGTAAGTTACGAACACTGATTAGACTATTTGCTTTTGCAATAGCATATGCTGGTGGTCACTCTATTCTCCCAAATTTGAATTTAAAATGAATCTGTATTATCGTAAACATGTACAACATTTATTTAAGAGTACGAGATGAGTTTCTTGTCAGTTCTTCTCATCTCGAGATCATTCCGAACTGACGGTAGATTGGACATATCATAAGAGTCTGTAAAAGACCTACATGAATAAAGATATTTTGAATTTAAATTGTATGTAGGACATTTTAGCCGCTTATGAACATAATTTTTTTTTATTATAATTTTTCCCTACCGTCCAGTTCAGTATACAGATTCAATTGAAAAGACTATCCACTTTATGATAGTGTATGATATCTACTTTAGACTAAAAATAAAATAAAAAAATAGAGATTTCGGTTCATATTTTTTAAAAACAAAGTGTGTATTAGAAAGCACTATATATATTACGTATGTATTTACAAAAAAAACTATGTCAGTTGTCTAGTACCTATAACACAAGCTCTGCTTATTGTAGGACTAGATGGCGCTGTGGTAATTGTCCAGGGTTATTTATTCTCTTTATGTCCAAATGGATTGGCAAACAAGCTGACGGCCCATCTAATGATGGAAGTGGCAACAGATAAAAAACATATCCAACATTTCAAGTGCATAGACCATCTGGTCTCTATATTACGAATTAATCTATGCAACGCATGTCGCAGTAAGGCACGCGATGGCGCGACTCCGATGCGTGATTGCACACGAGAATATAATCTGAAGATATATTTTATGTTTATACTAGCGGCTTTATCCGACTTCCCACGGGTGAATTATAAATCTTTGAATTTCTCGCCTTGTTCTATACTATAACACACATGTATTATATATATAAACCTTCCTCTTGAATCACTCTATCTATTGCTGAAAACTGCATTAAAATCTGTTGCGTAATTTAAAAGATATAAACGAACAGACAGCGACGGCGATTTTATTTTATACTATGTAAATATAATAACTTCAATATTTATTATAAATACCATTTTTTTTTTCTCTAATAATAATATATTAGATATTTAACAAATGTAACTACATTGGTTAATATGTACGTAATTCTTGCATATATGTATATTACCTGCAATCCTAATAAATAAAATACTATAAAATAGATCCGCAGCTAGCTATCTTGGCTCGTGCCACTCCCCTATACATCAGGCCGTGTTCATCAAACCATGCAGAAAACAAAAGCAACGGAAATATCCCTCCAGTCGACGACAAGAAAGACCGCGAGACAGTTTCCTAAAGACATCATAAATCAAATACAAGTTTAAAATATAACCGTATATCTATAATTTTTGTGCCTCAGGTTTGTTTAAAAATATATGAGAAGAACAACATTTTTTTAAACACATATAGAAAAAAAGTGGGCTGTCAAAATTACCGCCAAAAATTCTTGCATATCTAATTAACATAATACGAGTAGATATACTTGCAACTCTTTCGTAATGCTAATGTAAAATAATTTAAACATAAATGTTGTAATTACGCGAAGGTGTATTTTATGTACGCAATTATTTAGTTTAACGGGCAGTGTATTGAATAGATGAATTGATTTGACAGTTTATTTTTTAAAATGGAGCGTGGCAAAGGAAGTGCGTTCATACTGCTTGCTTTCTTCACACGGCTCGCGTACTCTGAAGATTATTTTCGAATGGTGAGTTATAAATTGCATTGTTGATATTATCATATAATAGATAGAAATAGATATGGACAATTAACTATGTAGACTTTGTCAGAGAAATATCTAGATACATTGTTGAGATATTAATAGAATGTACGTAATATATTTGAAAACTATTGTTTGAAAACGACATACATTTTGGTACGGTAAAATTTAACTTAGTTCTTGCTGGGTAATGGTTATAAAACGCTACGCGTTGTATTAATACCTTGATTTTTATATATAAAATGAATTAGTTCAAATGTACCTCTAAAATCAAACTTATTTCAAGTCGTAGCATGTAACTCAAGAAAAGATTTAGAATTTATTTTGATTTTTTCCTATATATATATATATATATATATCGACCTCGGTAGTCTAGCGGTCTAGCACAACGCTTTACGACCGATGGTCGCGGGTTCGATTCCTCGCACGGCACAAACATTTGTATTCATGAGTATGATTGTTTGTATACCCATAACACAAGCTTTAGCTTGCTCAACTTGGGTCTAGATGGCGCTGTTTTTTTCATATTCATATATAGGGCTTCATATATTGGACAGCGTTCGGGAAGCTCCGATATATCTTTTCGTCCAAATTTCCGCAGTGTCTCAAGACGAAGGTTTACGACCAATGTGTGTTGCCAGTGATGACTTACGGCACAGAGACGTGGTCGCTAACTATGGGCCTCATGAGCTCAGAGTCACTCAGAGGGCAATGGAGAGGGCTATGCTCGGAGTTACTCTGCGTGATCGAATCAGAAATGAGGAGATCCGCAGAAGAACCAGAGTGACCGACATAGCCCGAAGAATTGAACTCTGAAGTGGCAATAGACAGAGCACATAGCTCGTAGGACAGATGGCTATTGGGGCAGTAAAATCCTCGAGTGGCGACCACGGACCGGAAGACGCAGCTTGGGAAGGTCTCCAGCAAGGTGGACCGACTATCTGGACAAAATCGCTGGAAGGCATTGGATGCGAGCAGCGCAAGACCGATCGTCGTGGAGATCTTTAGGGGAGGCCTATGACCAGTAGTGGACGTCTTCCGAGCTGCGATGATTAATATTTTTTTCATATCTCCCGTACACTACACATGTTGCTGTTTTATTTTTATTTCTTTGTATATTGCGATCTTCAATGTCACATACTCATCAGCACCGGAAACCTATCATAATTGCCCATCCGACCTGATTTCCAAGCTATTGTCACGAAGTTATGCTCGAACTAAACGTCTCGTGATGACACTTTTTGTTTAACCTTCATACCGTGGTCAAAATGGCATGACCGGCTATATAAATTACCTACATATTAATGTTAAAGTTTTTCCACCTCGATGGTCTAGCGATTTAGTACAGCGTTACCGATGGTCGCGGGTTCGATATCTCGCACGGCACAAACTTTTGTATTCATGAGTTGTTTGTATCGCTCTGGGCGTTTTTTATGTATAATATGTATGCATTTACAAAAAATATATCTATGTATTTATCAGTTATCTAGTACCCATACAAGATTTAGGTACCTTAACTTGGGACTAGATGGCGCTGTGTGAATTGTTCTGAGATTATTTTTATACTGCGATGGTGGCAAACAAGCTTACGACCCATCTGATGGCAAACAATTACTAGTCTATAGACATCATGAGCGTCATGTGCGTGTTGCTGAACCTTAACATAATCTTCTAGAAAACCCCATGCTGTAGTCTCGTGAGAAAACTTCGGCAGGTAGTTCATTCATTCCACAATGTAAGTGTACGCGGGAGGAAGCTCCTCTGAAACAGCACTGTCCGAGACTACTTGGTTCTAGTGTGTGGGGATGAATTCCCTGCCGATGGCGATGGTAAAAGGTAGCCGTGGGCATCATTAAGCTTGTTTTATGGGTACTAGACAATTGGTAGACTAACTTAAATAGATTATATTTATAATACATACATAATATACATAAGAAAACACTCTGCCCAATACAAATCATTTTTCTGTAAAATTTTAATTCAAAATAACATAGTTTGGGGGTGTCCGGCAGGGTTTATAACTATACTAAGTGTCTGGCAATGAGCAGCGCAAGTTATAATACTGTTACGAACAATATGTGAAAAAATTGAGTTTCAAGTTAAGGAGTGCGGTATTAGAGGAAATCCGGACTATCCGAGACCACTATTAGGTTAGCGTCTCCATGGGTCAAACCGGATTACGAGACGTCACAGATCCTGACTGGACATGGCTGTTTCGGTAAGCAACTGCATGCCATGAGACTCTATGAGTCGAGTGGCTGCAGTTGCGGGGAGTCGGAAGAGGACCTCCACCACGTTGTGTGGGAGTGCTCGCTGTATTCCGACCTTAGGGGGAAGCTGCTGGAGGGGATACGTCGCGGTGAAGGAGAGGGTTCGGTGTACTCCCCGGACTTGGTGCCTATGGAGTTTTAGGAGGCTGCGGGAGTTCGCGCATCCGTGGCACCGGAGGCGGAGCGAGAGACTGACGGTGGTACACGTTCAAGAAGGAAGGATGCTGCCGAAGACGGAGTGCTGCCCGGCTCCGAAGCTGTCAATGTTTCGTCCGCTGCCCTAGAAGGGGGAGAGAGCCCCAGAAAGGGGAGAGAGCCCCAGAAGGGAGAGAAAGCGACAGAAGGGACAGGAATGGAAATAATTTGTAGGGATCAAGAGAATGCGTGCTTACAGCGCGCATTCCCCGTAGATTCGAGCAGTATAACCGAGAGGTTGGAATGGCTGTGGGTTGATGGAGGGTTGTCCGAGACCACTTAGGTTCTAGCGTGTGGGGATGAATTCCTTGTCGATGGGGATTATCGTCACGGCATATTGTGATGCCCGTGGAACTACAGCCATTCCAGAGTACTAAGATGTCATGCCTGTTACCCTGTAATTCCACTGCTTAATCTGCACCCCACAACCGAAGCCTCAGTCTCACCTACTTCTGCCACCAAACAGCTTACAAAATCGATTTTGGAAACTAGCCAATAAATACATATAAACATAATAAAAAATCAATAGTGTCTATATTAAAGCAACGCAGAAGTAGGTGAGACTGAGGTACACACGCAGACGACTTTTTACAAAGTATACATCGTTGATATACTAAAATTGTTAACGCTTTGGCGAAAGTATAATTAAAATGGGCATTGTTCGACATCCGTCCGTTTGTCTGTCACGACGTAACGCTGAAACAATGACGTTTTAATTGGAAAAAATTGTGTAACTGTAACAATCCGCGTATTCTGTATTACTTATATTATAAACTAGTTATACCCGCGACTTCGTCCTCGTGGAATTTAACTTTTCTAAAATAAAATAAAATACTCTTATATTAACCTAAGTTACTCCTTATTACATCAGCTGCCAAAAAAAATCCCGTCAAAATCGGTCCAGCCATTTCAGAGATTAGCCGGAACAAACAGACAGACAGACAAAAATTGTATAAAAATGTTATTTTGGCGTATGTGTTGTATGTACCGTATTTATATTCATAGGCACGTAGTAAAAAACGGTTATTTCAATATTACAAACAGACACTCCAATTTTATTATATATATGTATAGATGCGAAAGTATGTCTGCTGGGTGGCTACCATCGTCACCCGTTTCAGATGTAGGGTGCAGATTAAGCAGTAATATTACAGGGTAAGAGGCATGACATCTTAGTACTCTGGAATGACAACGCATGAGAGATATCACGAGCGTCACATGATAACGTGATGTAGTATTTTTAAGTAGAATAACATCTTACGTCCATAGGTTGCTGGTTCGATTCCTCGTACGGTACAAACATTTGTATTCATGCGTATGATTGTTTGTATCGGTCTGGGTTGGAAAGCACTAATATCGGGCTCCTCGAACAAATACTTAATAATTAAAATAATTGCTATTGAGTAAATATAATATATTCATGTGGACTAGGGCCCTCACAGGACACTGCCAATTAAAGAAACATAGCAAGCATAGGCCTGTGCACAACAAAAATCTGCAGATTCTGCCAAACTGAAGAGGAAACGCCACTACACATCCTATGTGGTTGTAGCCCACTCATGCATATACGAAATATCACCTTTGGAAAGTTTACACTCTATCCTGAGGAGATAAAAACCATCGCTCCTAAGATTATCCTTCAATTCTTGTCCCTGACGGGTAGGTAGCGAACTTTGAAAAGGGCGGGCACAATATAGGTAGGTCGCAATGCTACAGGTCCATGCACGTGACTAGCCGCAATAAACCAATAAAAAAATTCGATCTAGGTGTTTTTTATGTATAATATGAAGAAAAAACATATCTATGTATTTGTATCAGTTATCTAGTACCCTTAACACAAGTTTTAGCTAGCTTCACTTAGGTCTAGATGGCGCTGTGTGAATTGTCCTGAGATTATTATTATTATTATATTTCATGTATTATTTTTATGTACATTTTTTATGTATTTTGGAACGTAACCACTTACCATCAGGTAGGCCGTTGTGTTGTCTGCCATTGCAGTAAAATAAATAAAAACAAATAAAATTGTCTATTCTATTCTTATTTTAAATCTTGAAAATAGGATATAAACGTTTTATCAACTTACCGGAATACTGTAATAATATAATTATACGAGTTACAAGACAATTTGAGGACATCTTGTACGAGGTGACGTGACCTTGCTCGACGCGTGAAGAGCGAACGGACATCTCTCGAACCATCCATATACAATGTCACAATAATTTCAACAAACTGGCTCCACCCCTTCTGCCACAGTTGGTCACATTTTAAAGTTGAAATTTCAATGAAAATTAAAACGTGAACAGCGAACGGTCATGTCTGGGATCATCCTTAAACAATGTCACACTAATTTCAACAAACTTCCTACCCCCTACTGTCACAGTCGGACACAATTGAATAGTTGAAATTTCTAAGAAAATTACTACGTGAACAGCGAACGGAGATCTTTGGGACTATCCATAAACAATGTCACGCTAATTACAACAAACTCCCCCCACTGTCACAGTCGGTCACATTTTAATAGTTGAAATTTCTAGTTTCGTAATACGAAAATTAAAACGTGATGGCATGTTTTATAAGTGTTCTTTTATTTGTATAAGTTTTAAGGGTTGATCCCTCCTTACTAGTTTACTGAAGGGAACCTGAAAGTAATGGCCTGGTTGCTTTTCGAGAAAGGTTGTTTTACTACAAATAGAGGACAAAATTCCTTCAATAGACGCAGTTGACCGATTATATAACCTAATAACCTAACAAGTGATGTTTAGAACAAACCCCTAGGAGATTATCCTAAACATCACTACGTCTCACCAATGGGGAGGGCGGGTTTTTTTTTTTTTTATGATAATGGAATGGTGCACCCGCCTGCGCTAACGGTTTACGCTGGCAGGGCACCAATGGAAGATGATAAGATGAGCATGAAGTCAGGTCAGTTAGCCCATCGTGACAAGCTCACCAGAAATTTGTCACGACGGTTTCCAGGGGGAACCGCGTGGAGGTCGACCTGACATGGTACATTGCTAGCAATGTGGTTATCAATCCACATTACTAACAACTCTCTTCCCCCCGGGAGGGGGGGGTCGGGGATCGGTCGGGGATCTCGTTATTAATAGATTACTCCAAACCTTTGTTAGCATTTGCTAGCAATGTACCATGTCAGGTTGACCTCCGTACGGTCCTGGAAACCATCGTGATAAACTCCTGGTCACGATGGGATAACTGTCCTGAAGTCATACTCATATTCTCATCTTAAAAGTCACACTTTGGTTATAGCGCCATCTTGTGCTACCTAGATACAACGAAGCAAATATCTAGTGTATCTATTAGCCGATAGATGGCACTATTTTCATAAAAATTCCAGTTTTAGTCTGTACCGGCAAACGCTTTGCCTTAAAATAAAAAAAATAAACTTAGGGGTGGACTACCCCTAACATTTAGGGGGATGAAGATGTTGGCGGATTCTCAGACCTACTTAATACGCTCACAAAATTTCATGAGAACCGGTCAAGCCGTTTCGGAGGAGTATGGGAACGAAAACTGTGACACGAGAATTATATATATAAGATTAGCTACTCGCCCCGTCTTCACACGGGTGTACATGTATTATATATATAAATCCTCCTCTTGAATCACTCTATCAAATTAAAAAAAACCGCTTCAAAATCCGTTGCGTAGTTTTAAAGATTTAAGCATACATAGGGACGGACAGACAACGACAGCGACTTTGTTTTATACTAGATAATGAATATTAAAGTTATGAATTAAATATATCAATCATTAAAAATCTTTATTACATAGAATATTATGTTATTTGTGTTACACAGTATGAACGTTGCTTCCACTGTCGACTCGCTTAGATCTTTTAAACTGCGGAACGGATTTTAATGCAGTTTTTACCAATAGACAGAGTGATTCAAGAGGAATATTTATATGTATTATGCATGTACACCCGTGCGAAGACGGGGTGGGTACCTAGTTAAATATAAAGGCTTATTTTTATACTAGTAGCCTATTAATCGTAGAAAAGAAATATAAATAATTCTAAATCAACAGACTATCGCTATAATATTAATTCTAAACTTTACCTTTCTTTACTTTAAAATCTATTTGACATTGTCTTTGTCACAGCTAAGATCATGGCGTTGTATTTAGGTCACTTGTGTTACACCAAATGTAGATCGTCACATATAATTACCCGTCATAATCGGAGAAGGGCCTATTTGCCGTTACTCAATGTCACTGCACGGTGTTGAATATTTTATGTTCATGTTTTTTCGGACTAATGCTTATACGTCATACTCGTGAACGAGTGCTGCTTGTTAGGACTGGTCTGTTCTAATCACTACGACTGATTTAATCTTATTGTGTACTAGCTGTTACCGCGACTTCGTCCGCGTGGAATTTACCTTTATTTTTTTAAATAAAAATAATACTTTTATATTAGCCTAAGTTACGCCTTATTATATCAGCTACCTGCCCAAGAAAGTCCCGTCATAATCGGTCCAGACATTTCAGAGATTAGCCGGAACATACAGACAGACAGACAAAAATTGTAAAAAATGATATTTTGGTGTATGTACCGTATTTATATGCATGTAGTAAAAAACGGTTATTTCAATATTTCAAACAGACATTCAATTTTATTTATATGTATAGATTTAATATCTGACAATAATAAATTAGTGCTAATTGGTAGTTTGTATTCACACGTTTCGAATCAAAAATGTAAAGTTACAATAATTACGTAAAACAGCAACACGCAAGTTTCTTGCTCGTTCTTCTTGTGATGAGACAGCTTTCCGAAAGAGCGGTAGATTAAAAAAAATGTTATGACTATTCAAAAGTGCTTCAATTAAGTTTACTTCAATAAATGATTTTCTATTCTATTCTATGCTGTTGACCGCAGCCGGCCTTTACAGCTTCACCGGACGATAGGGGGCGAGTGCAGATGGCGCTCCAAATCAAACGAAGGACATATGGAGAGGCTGAAGGAGAACTCCTTCTTGACGGATACGAGTTTAGTCTAAGCAGGGTAGCACGGATACATTTCAAATCTTTGAATTTATCGGCTTGTTCTGTAATATAACACGCATGTACTATACATACAAACTTCCTCTTAGAAAACTCAGCATTTGGAGTGCAGACATATCACAGCACAGTTTTCTGTGTAAGAAGTATAATATGTTATATGTAATTTATTTTTAAAAATCATCAAGAAACTTTATTCTTGTTACAGGGCACAAATACAAATACGGCCGATGCTGTGCAGTTTCTTCGGGAGTATGACAGAGAAGCTTCTGGAATGTGCTATAGGTAACTAGAAGAGTTAATTTATTCATCAGAGTTATTTATTTAAGACCAATAGAGATGATGTTGATTATAATGATTATAATACTTCCTCTTGAATCACTCTATCTATTGCTGAAATGTGCAGTAAGACTAACTTTAAAAATGCTTCAATTGTTCAATGTATTTTTCTTTTTTTTCTTTTGGGTGTTTGGGCTACTGTCTGGTGCTAGAACCTGACACTGCGACCTATATATTACCAGTTCATTAATTCAGAAATATGATAAAAAGAATGTTTTTCAAAATAATATTTTATTTTCAATTTAAATTCTTTTGGTTGTAATTGTCTGATAGTAACAGGTAGCTCTTTATTTTTAATGTAATGCGTTTAATTTTAAATTAAAAGCTTTATTGAGTCCTACCTACATTAGTAAACATATTTTTAATTTGATACTGTTGCAGAGTCACAATGTCTCAGTGGAAATTCGTTACCAACATTACTGAATACAACCGACGCAGAATGCTCGAAGAGTTGGCCCTGAGCTCCAAATTTGAGAAGTTGTCGTGGAGAAAGGCTGCCGCTTTCGACTCGTCAAGAGTGCCAGACCCTCAGGGCCGGAGGCAGTTGGTTAAAATAGTACAATCCAGCCGCGCTGCTTTACCAGATGATAAATTTTCCGAGGTGAGTTGCAATGCTTTTGTTTCTAAATATGAAGATATCTCTTCTATAACTGCTGTACTAAACAAGTTTTCCAAAGGAATCGTCTGCATAGAATTAAAGATTTTTTATAAATATAAAAAAAAAATTAAAAAAAAGTAGCCTAAGCTACTCTTTATAATCTGTCAAGTCCTGCCAAAATCTGTGGAGCCGTTTCAGAGATTATCAAGAACAAACAGTTTTTTAATTTTTTTATTTTATGAAAGTACTGTATGTGCTTTCATAAAAATTTAGTGAATAACTATTAATTTTAAATTACAAAGAGATCCTTCAATTTTATTTAGTTGGGTAGATTCATCTTCATCTGCGTCACAAATCTGCTACTATCTATCGGAGCTTAATGTTACGTAGCCTAAGTTACTCCTTATAACATTAGCTATCTGCGAATTTAAATCTCTCCAAAATCGGTCCGCCATTTCAAATTCAACAATTTTGTTTAGATTCTTTTTTTATATAAGTACCGTATATACACTCAAATACTTGTATACAATAATAAATTTATCTATTAATTTGAAATAACAAACAAACTTAACAATCAAATTTCAGATTCAACAATTAATAACAGAAATGAAAGAGATTTACAACTCCGCCAAAATTTGCCCCTACGGCCAGAAGCCCTACGACGCTCATGTTCAAAGACCACAGTACCCCGATTACCAAATGATGCAGGCTCACCAGCCGAGTATTCAGGCATATCAGCACTACCCAAGTCACCAGGAAAACCCAGAGCTGGCTAACTATTGCGATATGCAGTTGGATCCGGAAATATCAAGAATTCTAGCACATTCTAGAATAGAAAGCGAATTGTTGTACGTTTGGAAGAGTTTCCGCGATCAGACCGGTCCGAAACTGAAGAACAGGTTTATGAGATATGTACAATTGGCTAACCAAGCTGCAGTTGCTACTGGTAAGTATGTTCTTTACTTTAGACTAGTTGAAATTCGTATCAATGCCTCCTCTAATAGTATATTGAAATATCACGGAGAGTGTCAAAATTGTTTGACTTATTACCATCTGCTGAATTTCCTAGAAGTTAAAATACCAACCAGATCATTTGGATCAATAGCGCTCGTTCACCGAAAATATTTGCTACGCCCAACATTGTGGAATCACCTTCCAGCAATGATATATCCAAACCGATACGATATTGAAAGCGATTATTCCTTCTTAGACGGCCGGCAATCCTTGTAAGTCTCCGGGTGCTTAGAACGGCCACTGATCCTCCACTCACGTCCCGCTAGCTGTTCGAGCGCTATCGAAGATGAGCTATTGACAGCCGCTAGGCCGGGACACCTTTCACTTTGCCTTGCGCCTACGACGTCACCGCACGCGTACCTTATTAATTAGATAATGTTCCTTGTAATATTATAACTCCTCGTATTAAATATAATGATTTACTACTCATTTTATTTGCGAGTCATCAACACTAGCGTATACCGTTAGCGCAGGCTGGTGCACCATTACATTATCATATATACATATAATTAAACATCCTCATCGGTCTAGCGGTAGCACACTTATTTCCGACGGTCGATTCGATTCCTCGCACGGCACAAACATTTGTATTCATGAGTATGATTGTTTGTATCTGTCTGAGTGTATTCTACATATAATTTGTAAATTTACGAAAATTAAATATATCTATGTATTTGTATCAGTTATCTAGTACCCATAACACAAGCTTTAGCTAGCTTAACTTGCGTCTAGATGACGTTGTGTGAATTGTCCTGAGATTATTATTATTGATGGTCCTAACAGCTTTTCCATCTTCAGGCTACAGCGACGCTGGAGACCAGATGAGGGCAGCATACGAGGACTCGTCATTCCGAGCCAGCGTCGAGGAGGTATACAATCAGATGGTGCCACTCTACAAGCAGCTGTTCACGTACGTGAGGAGGAAACTGGTGCAGAGGTACGGAGAGACCAGCGTGCGGAGTGATGGACCTATACCAGCTCATTTACTTGGTAAATTCTTTGATCATTCATAAAGCGGTGAGGAGATTGTAAACATTGAATGAATGAATGAATGAATGAATGAATGAATGAACTTATTTCTGTTTATTTACTAAAAATTGGTATAGAATAATAAATATTAATAGGAATGAAGATAATATTTTAAGCAAGGTGTTAGATATGAGTGTGAATGGTTATAAGGGCAGACGGCCGAAATAGAGATGGATGGACTGTGTGAAAGATGATATGGTAAGAAAAGGAGTAAATAACGAGATGACTGCGCACAAGGATGAATGGAAGAGAAAAACATGTTACGCTAAAAATAAATGGGATAAGGAAGAAGCAGATGATGATATAAATATTTGGTTGGATGACATTTCAGGTAACATGTGGGCACAAAACTGGAAATCAATCATGGACCTAGTGATGCCGTTTCCACAATCATCCAACATAGATGTGACAGCCGAGATGCTGCGTCAGGGGTTTACTCCTTTACGGTAACTTCATCAATACATACCTTTTTTATATGTATCTAAAAATGCCCAATATCTATTGGGCATTTTGGACATTCCACCTTACACTAAGTACCTACTAAATAAAAGTAGAAATAGAAATATATTATAATATACATATATAGTAAGGCCAGAAAGGACAGCCGAAAGAAACGATTGAACAGACCAGGGATGTTATGGATATGAAATTTCGGATATAGGAGTGATTATTATACCCGATACGGATACGGATATTTCGGATTATCCGTTAGTTTCGAATAATTTCGGTTACAGATATTATTTTTTTTAAGTAATTTCAAAAGAAAAATCAAAGTAACTAATAAAATGGTTTCGGCACGTTTGCCTCAATTAGGCTCCGCCCCTATCCGATATTATCCGATTTTATTTCGGATTCGGTTACGGTTACGAATATTTTTTTACGGATATCCGATAGTTTTGGTTACGATTACGGAGCTCCCTAATATCCCTGGAACAAACAAACATGAAGCAACAGTTTAGAATTGTGTTCGAAATCAACAAAATAACTTCATATTTCGATCACCAAATTCGAAATATAAAGCTTTCTAAATATAACATAGACTAAGCAGCCAGTATTCGTTTGTTTCACTCTGCATCGCGTGTTGTGTTCAACCGAATATACAACGGACTGTGTTCTGAAGAATTCTTTGACATGATGTCCACGGCTATCATTTACCATCACGCCGCTCGCCATCGATACGCTGGACTCTAAGTAGTCTTGGAGAATGCAGTTTCAGAAGAGCTTCCTCCTGCGTACACTTAGATTGTGGAATGAACTACCTGCCGCGGGTTTTTCGAGAAACTACAGCGTGTGGTTTTTTAAGAAGGGGTACATTAAGGTTTCTTAAGGCTCGGCTACGCGCAGTTGACGCCTCTGATGTTTCAGGCATCCATAGGCTACGGTAACCGTTTACCTTCAGATGGACCGTATGCTTAACTTTTCAATTGCTGGCTGTCAAAAAGACATTACCAGCCCATCTGTGAGACTAATTACAGACCTCTTACAAATGGGGGTTTGTGACTATCTGTGGAGCATACCTCAGTTTCAAAAATTATTAGATGCTACACAGATTGGGCTATAGTGTCAGAGTCCGATAATTGGCTCTTTCGCAGATGATAGGCTATATGCCAACGTCGTAGTATAAAAAGAAAACAATAATATTCAAATTCATAAATCATTTTTTCATGTACGACATTTTAGCAGCTTATGAACGTCAAATTTGTTATAGTATAATTTTTTCCCTACCGTCCAGTAAATAAAAGCGTTTCAAATTCTAGAATGTTCCAAATGGCTGAAGAGTTCTACACGTCTATGGGTCTGAAGCCAGTGCCACCAGAGTTCTGGCGCGGTTCCATGTTGGTGAGACCGGCGCAGCGCAGCGTCCAATGTACGGCTAGCGCTTGGGACTTCTGCAACAGAATTGATTACAGGTCAGTATATTTTGAATGCTCATCATCACCACCATGAGATCTTGGAAGCCTACTGTTAGTTAGATATAGCCCTATTCGAATACAAAAATAAGTTATTCCAATTTAATGAGGGCTGTCCAAACAAGATAAAATCTATGGTCAATAAAAATGACTAAAACCATTGAGGGGCGCGAAACTACTGAACCGATTGCAAATTTGATTTGCATATTGTGTACAATTTGATCCAACTTGAAAGATAGGATAGCTTACATCTCAATTTATTGTCGCAATATTATTTTATTCAAGAACCTTAGCCACAGCAACGCTTGGCCGGGTCTGCTAGTTACATTATATTTTTTAAAGGTTTTTACGTTCATTGCTCTGGTATATATATATATTTTAAGTAGATAATGTAATGGTGCCCTTATTTAACAACCATTTTCTTCTTTAGAATAAAACAATGCACAGAAGTGACAATGCAGGACCTGATCTCCACACATCATGAAATGGCTCACATCCAATACTACCTCCAGTATGCTGACCAGCCTCAGATGTTCAGGGATGGAGCTAACCCTGGTAAGTCTATTCATTGGTCGTACATACATACAAGAACAGCTAACCTTATCTTGTTAGGCCCGGGGCACCACTCACGCGCTGCGGAAACCAAATGTTTAAAATTTGGTATTCAAAAAGCTTTAAACGGGCACTGATATCGGGTACTGTGAGACTCTTACTCACTAAAAACTCCAAGGCATTCAAGAGCGGATCCAGCTTTGGCGCCAGGAGGGGTCACATAGTCGTGGTCAAGTCAAGAACTTATAATTTAATTTTGATAACAATAGATACAAGTAAAAAGTAGGTATTTTAATAATGTACAATTAGTAGTTATTATATTATTTTAAAATTGAAGGTATGTAGTTACATAAAATCTGTATGGTGTCAAAATATATAAATAAAATGATTATGTTCAATTAGTGGTCCACCTAAGTCCTGGAACTAGCTCAGGGGGGGGGGGTCATGACCCCCATGAACCCCGCCCTGGTTCCACCTTGAACGAATTTCTCCTCGCCGCCATAGCGCTGGGGTCGCGGGAACGAATTCGCATTCAACCCCAATCGTGTGAATCGTTAATCAACGCGTAGGGGGAACTCTTCCCTCCAAAGTCCAGCTCCCCCGCCTCCGCCCACCGTGGGGGAGACACACGGAGGACGGAATACGAGACTCCCCCATCTTGGCCCTTGTTATATGGCATGTAGACATAAGAATTTAAGAAGGCTAAGGTGGGGCATAGCTCAAAGAAGGCTGGGAAATATTTCTTTAAACTGTTGCTAGCTTACGGCCCATGGCCCAGTCTGGTCTCCGAAAAATTGTCAAATTCCAACCTGTAGGTTGGGTTATTAGAGAAATAGTAGCAGAGATTTAAATTTCTTCGTAAAACAACTTAATTTATTTAATAATTTAAGTTATTCTAAAGTATCACAGCTCTTCTACTTTAATTCCTTCTTCTACCTTATTCTCCTAGGTACCATCAAAGTATGGGTGTAGACTCAATAACGGTCGGAATTTGATCACCAATAGAAAAGGTCGTAACGCTTCCAGTAGCTGTGGTCAGGTTTCCGCACTGAATATTTGTGGTCTCACACATGCTAATGGCAGCGGAATTAAACAAAATAATATAAATCTATTAAGTAATGAATATGTTATAGAATAGAATAGAATAGAATAGAATAGAAAATCATTTATTCAAATAAACTTACATTGAAGCACTTTTGAATAGTCATTACATTTTTTAATCTACCGCTCGTTCGGAAAGCTGTCTCATCACAAGAAGAACGAGCAAGAAACTTGCGTGTTGCTCTTTTAAATAATTTTATTATTACTTTACATTTTTAAGTTTAAGTGTGTGAATACAAACCACCAATTAGCACTAATTCTATTAAATACTCAAATAGAAATAATATTGAATATATAACAAACTGGTTAAACAATTAATAAGAGGAAATCAGTCATAGTGATTAGAGCAGACCAGTCCCTACAAGCAGCACCCGTTCACGAGTATGACGGATGAGCCAGCCATCACTGCGCTCGACCATATTTTAGGGAGCCCAATGACCCGGCCCACCACGCCGCCACAAGTCTGGACATTTTAGTGAGCATGACTACTCAAAACACTAGACTACGTCAAAGCTACTTACAATTGCTATCTGATAGTTATAGTATTCACATTTTACATAAGAATGCATGCGGCAATCAATACAAAAACCGCTACGCTTTCATATTTCTAAAATCAATCAATTAAATCAAGAAAGCAATGAGAAAATTAAATTATAACGTTGTATGCTAATAAACTAGTTATTTACTTGATATGTTGTCGTCTATGAATTCGTCTATCCTGTAATAGGCTTTCTTACACAAAAATTGTTTAATATAAGATTTGAATTGCCTCTCTGTCAGATTTAGTGCAGATTCTGGCAGTTTATTATAAAATCTTACGCAATTACCATAGAATGAATTACTGACTTTGTGCAGGCGGCATTTAGGTAAAATTAGCTTATTTTTATTGCGTAAGTTTCTATTTGTACAGTCTTTAAGTTTTCTAAAACTCTCTAAATTCTTCCGTGTATACATGATATTCTCATAAATGTATTGTGAAGTAACGGTGAGGATATTTGAATCTTTAAAACACTGACGTAATGACTCTCTTGAACCCATACCATAAATAGAACGTATGGCTCTCTTTTGTAAAATAAATATAGTATTTATATCGGCTGCTTTACCCCACAGTAGTATACCATATGACATAATGCTATGGAAATAACTAAAGTATACAAGTTTAGCCGTCGCCACGTCTGTTAATTGCCTAATTCTTCTAATTGCATATGCAGCTGAACTGAGTCTATTGGCCAATTTTGAAATATGGGGCCCCCATTGTAATTTCGAGTCCACTGTTATACCTAAAAAAACTGTATCATTAACAAAATTTACTATTTCATCATTAAGCAATAACTGTGTATTTATTGGTCCTACATTAGGAAGTGTAAATTTTATACACTTTGTTTTGCTGGAATTTAATAATAGGTTATTACATGTAAACCAATTTAATATAGCAGACATAGCACAATTTACATCGTCTAATTGATTAGTTTGACGTCCAATTTTAAACACTAACGAAGTATCATCCGCAAACAGCACTATATCTGCAATTTTCTCTACCATAAAGGGAAGGTCATTTATGTAAATTAAAAAGAGAAAGGGGCCTAAGATTGACCCTTGTGGAACGCCCATCCCAATATTAGCTCCCTTAGATTTTATACCGTCAATATCTACAGTTTGGACCCTATCCTCTAAATAAGTTCTCATTAATTTTAGTTATAAATAATTTCAGCTTTCCACGAGGCAGTCGCTAATGCTGCGGCTTTGTCTGTATACAACTTGCCGCACTTGCAGCGAGTTGGACTTTATCAAAACAAGTGAGTATGCCATTTATATAGTTAAACGAGTTTTAACACGAATAATTTTATGGTAAATGAAGGTATTTACCTCTGTCGATGTTTCGATTAAGTTGCACTAGCCGTGGTCACGAGCTGACTGGAGTAACAGTGATGTTATAGCTATTAATAATACACCGACTGTGCTTCTGCCGGGGGTAAGTTGCCATCTCTCCTTAAGAGGGGAGATGAGAATTTTTGTATAATAATAATAACTGTGCTTCTGCCGGGGTTAAGTTGCCATCTCCTCTCCTTAAGAGGGGAGATAAGAATTTTTGTATAATGATAATAACTGTGCTTCTGCCAGGGGTAAGTTGCCATCTCCTCTCCTTAAGAGGGGAGATGAGAATTTTTGTATAATAATAATAACTGTGCTTCTGCCGGGGGTAAGTTGCCATCTCCTCTCCTTAAGATGGGAGATGAGAATTTTTGTATAATAATAATAACTGTGCTTCTGCCGGGGGTAAGTTGCCATCTCCTCTCCTTAAGAGGGGAGATGAGAATTTTTGTATAATGATAATAACTGTGCTTCTGCCGGGGGTAAGTTGCCATCTCCTCTCCTTAAGAGGGGAGATGAGAATTTTTGTATAATAATAATAACTGTGCTTCTGCCGGGGGTAAGTTGCCATCTCCTCTCCTTAAGAGGGGAGATGAGAATTTTTGTATAATAATAATAACTGTGCTTCTGCTGGGGGTAAGTTGCCATCTCCTCTCCTTAAGAGGGATGAGAATTTTTGTATAATAATAATAACTGTGCTTCTGCCGGGGGTAAGTTGCCATCTCCTCTCCTTAAGAGGGGAGATAAGAATTTTTGTATAATGATAATAACTGTGCTTCAGCCGGGGGTAAGTTGCCATCTCCTCTCCTTAAGAGGGGAGATGAGAATTTTTGTATAATAATAATAACTGTGCTTCTGCCGGGGGTAAGTTGCCATCTCCTCTCCTTAAGAGGGGAAATGAGAATTTTTGTATAATAATAATAACTGTACTTCTGCCGGGGGTAAGTTGCCATCTCCTCTCCTTAAGAGGGGAGATGAGAATTTTTGTATAATAATAATAATAACAACTGTGCTTCTGCCGGGGGTAAGTTGCTATCTCCTCTCCTTAAGAGGGGAAATGAGAATTTTTGTATAATAATAATAACTGTGCTTCTGCCGGGGGTAAGTTGCCATCTCCTCTCCTTAAGAGGGGAGATAAGAATTTTTGTATAATGATAATAACTGTGCTTCTGCCGGGGGTAAGTTGCCATCTCCTCGCCTTAAGAGGGGAGATGAGATTTTTTTTTAAGTTTAAGAAATAATAATAATATCCTTGGACAATAAACACAGCGCCATCTAGTCCCAAGTTCAGCTGAGCTTGTGTTATGGGTACTAGACTACTGATATAGACAGATATTTTTTTTGTACATACATACATAATATACATAGAAAACACGTAGACCGATACAAACACTCATACTCACGAATACAAACGTTTGTACCTAGCAAGGAATAGAACCCGCGACCATCAGACGCAAAGCAGTGTGCTAAACCACCAGTCTAGTGGTCAAGCTCAGAGGCCGTCGATTATTAATATTATAATCGCAAAACTTTGTGAGTATGGATGGATGTTTGTTACTCTTTCACGCAAAAACTACTAAAAGTACTGAACGGATTTTGATTAAACTTTACAGTAATATAGTTTATGCATCTGAATAACACAGGCTATATTTTATATTGAAATTTAAAGTGGGTGAAACCACGGGCACAGCTAGTGTATACGTAGTGTAAACGTGAAAGTTTAAAAATGAGTATACCATTGTTTTTGTCTGTAATATGCTGTTCTTACGAGGCTGAAATCTTTGTTCACAGGAGTCACGACCCTTATGAAGTGAGTATGAACTTCCTGATGAGTATGGCGCTGGAGAAGGTGGCATATCTACCATTCGCATTCATGGTTGATCAGGTCAGTCATATTTATTTATAATAATGTTACAAAACGGTGTAGATTATTATAGTAACTTTGGTAATCCTGGACAATTTGCACAGCGCCATCTAGTACTTATATTTAGTTGACTAATTGTACCTATTTTCTATAATGCAAATAAAGCATATTCAATCTATATAATGTAAGATCGGGTATTGATACCGGACGAATCATGGTTACTAGTAAGATCAACTAATAATGATGACGACTTAGGCTTTGAAGCCGGCTACCGCAAGGGAAACCCCAAGTAGCGCCCGTGACTTGTGACACGGGTGTAGGTTTAAAAGGCCCTTTTAAAATTCATTAACACTCACCTTCACTACATGCAGCTTCCCCCCAGGCCCAACTAAGACCGAGATAAACGCATTTCTAATACAATTCACTTTAGTATCCAAAACACAACCGGCACGCTCTGCGCTCGTCGACTGAATGCCGCGGCTCACCCAACGAAAGAGGATTATTCAACTACCGACCTCCGCATTTGTAGATCGAAGTCAGTGTAGTAGGGACAGAAGCGGGGAACTGTTATCTTATGACAAACAACTTAGTTCGGTCTATAAATACTAGATGGCGCTATTTACAAAATAGATCACATTAGATACTCAATTATATTCATAATCTTACAATAATAATATCTCAGGACAATTCACACAGCGCCATCTGGTCCTAAGCTAAGTAGAGCTTGTGTTATGGACACTACATAACTAATATACTTAAATACTTAGATATTTTTAAACATATGTAATATGCATATAAAACACACAGACTGATACAAACATTCAAACTTATGAATATACCTGTTTGTACCGTGCGAGGAATCGAACCCGCGATGAACGTGTAGTACGGCGGTGTGGCAGAGGGGGAAACTCCTCCAGTTCCCGGGACTTGTGACCCGGGTGTAGGTTTATGGGGCCTCTGGCCGACGTACCTTCACCAAACTTACACTTAAAAATAAGTAAATGTAAGCATTTATTTGAAAAAGCAACAGATAAATTTCTTGACATTCCCTCTTCAATATAATTCCAAATTAGTGTTGGATTAAAAAATGTTACAATTTATAATTGATAGATAGATAGATAAGAGTTTTTATTTTTAAAAATTCAAAAATTAAAATATCTTTATTCATGTAGGTCTATTACAGACTCTTAGGATATGTCAAATCTACCGTCAGTTCGGAATGATTTCGAGATGAGAAGAACTGACAAGAAACTCAGTTCGTATTTTTTTTTAAATGTTGTACATATTTACAATAATACTATTACATTTAAATTGAAATTTGGGAGAATAGAGTGAACACCAGCATATGCCATATAAAAAAAACTAATTAGTGTTCGCAACCTAAACAGACCAGTCCCCACAAGCAGCCATCATTGCACTCAACCGATGTGCTCCCTCTAATGAGGGAGCACATCGATTCGGTCCATATTTGTATCTTAGTACACAATTACACATATAGGCTTCGTTACAAATAGTATACAATACATATTATTTAAACCAATATAATAAAATAGAAATAGAATAGAAAATGATTTAGTCAAATTAATAATTTAAGCACTTTTGAATAGTCATAACAATTTTTTTTATCTACCGCTCATTCGGAAAGCTGTCTCATCACAAGAAGAACGAGCAAAAAACTTGTGTGTTGCTCTTTTAAATAATCCTTGTAAGTTCACATTTTTCAAGTCGAAACGTGTGAATACAAACTACCAACCAGCACTAATTGATTAGGGTCAAATATAAATACACAATAAGATTAAATCAGTCGTAGTGATAAGAGCAGACCAGTCCCTACAAGCAGCACTCGTTCACAAGTATGACGGATGAGCCAGCCATCACTGCGCTCGACCATATTTTAGGGAGCCCAATGACCCGGTCCACTAGGGGGGGAGGGGGTTGTTAGTAATAGTAATATGGTCATGCCATGACCATATTACTAGCAATGTACCATGTCAGGTTGACCTCCACGCGGTTCTCCCTGGAAACCATCGTGATAAATTTCTGGTGAATTTGTCACGATGTGCTAACTGACCTGACCTCATGTTCATCTTATCATCCTCCACTGGTGCCACGTGTAAACCGTTAGCGCAGGCGGGTGCACCATTCCATTATCATCTATAAAAAAACCCGCCCCACCACGCCACTACATGTCTGGACATTTTAGTGAGTATGACTACTCATTCAATAACAATACAATATGAGTAAACCTGCATGTGTGAGCTACAGAAATACAAAATGGTTCATAACTCAGTGTGCAGAATCACTCAAGGAGCAAAACAATGATTTTCAGCTATATCTAAGTCTAGTCTAGTCTCTCATAAGTGCTTCAATTTAAGTCTGAGTAAATATTATTTATGTTCTATTGTTCACAGTGGCGCTGGTCTATATTTGAAGATGGCGTCCAAAATATGAATACCAGATGGTGGCAAATGAAATTAAGATATCAGGTAAATTAATAATAAGAAATAAGTGATAATGGTTAGGGATGTATGAATTTTTTAATGCCACATACTAAAAAAAAAATTTGTCCAAAAAATATATATATTTTTTGGACAAATTAAATTAAATTAAATTAGGTTATAACCTAACCTAACATTTATGGCAAAACATCGTTTGAGGGGTCAGGTAGTTTATGTATAATATTACATGTGCCCAAGCTAAGTAAAGCTTTTTTTAACTACGATGATGGCAAACAAGCATACCCATCTGATGGCAAACGATTACCATAGCCTATGGACGCCTGAAACACCAGGGGTGTCATGTGCGCGTTGCCGACCCTAAAGAAGCCCGAATATACCCTTCTTAAAAACCCCATGCTGTAGTCTCTAGAGAAAACTTCGGCAGGTAGTTCATTCATTCCACAATGTAAGTGTACGCGGAAGGAAGCTCCTCTGAAACCGCACTGTCCGAGACCACTTAGGTTCCAGCGTGTGGGGATGAATTCCCTGTCGATGGCGAGCGGTGCGGTGGTAAACGGTCACCATTATCATCAAGCTTTGATTATGGATACTAGACAACTGATAAAAATACTTAAATATGTTTTTTTGTAATATATACAAAATAAATAACCTTTGTACAATTAACACAGCGCCATCTAGTTCCACGGTAAACAGAGCTCGTGTTATGGGTACTAGACAACTGATATAAATACTTAAATATGTTTTTTGTAATAAATACAAAATAAATAACATTGGTCAATTAACACAGCGCCATCTAGTCCCACGGTAAACAGAGCTTGTGTTATGGGTACTAGACAACTGATAAAAATACTTAAATATGTTTTTTTTTAATATATCCAAATTAAAAAATTTTTGGACAATTAACACAGCGCCATCTAGTCCCACGGTAAGCAGAGCTTGTGTTATGGGTACTAGACAACTGATATAAATACTTAAATATGTTTTTTTTTTGTAAATATATAGTATATTATCCGGACTCATTCTCTCTAATTATCAATTTAAATATTTTAGGATTTGTACAGTATCTAACGAGAGAGTAGATGAAAAAAAGACTGAAACTGGGGTTGTATGTCAAGTACTTACGTAGAAGCTTTTAAAGCTCTAGATATTGCTTTTAAGTACTTTGAAAGACAGGACGAATCGGATCCCATAGTTGTCACAACTGAAGCGCATCAGGGACTTGGCCGCAATGAGATGTGATTCATTACGTCTATGATCAATAACAAATTTACAACCAAAATTTTAAATTACATACGTATTATGTAATTCATTATCTATAGTTATAGCTCGTTTTTTATATATCGTATCTAAATATATATAACCCAAAAGTGACTGATATAGTGATCTATTAACGCACAGCCCAAACCACTGGACGGATCGGGCTAAAATTTGGCATACAGGTAGTTGTTATGACGTAGGCATTCGCTAAGAAGGGATTTCGATTAATTCTACCTCCAAGGGGATGAAATAGGGGATGAAAGTTTGTATGAAACTTTGTCACTTTTAAACCGATCGGGCTGAGACTTTGCATGCATAAAGCTGCTATGACGTAGGCATCCCCTAAGAATGGATTTTGATAAATTCCACCCCTAAGGGAATAAATTAACGCGAGCGAATCCGCGAGGAAAAGCTAGTTATCTAAGTAGAACACATTACTTAATGAAGAATTATTAAAATTTAAATATCGTTTGATTTGCTTTGAAATTGGTTATCTAGAATTTCGATTAGACGGAATACCCCTGGTATTAATTGATCCGGATAATCGGGGTTCTATTGTACATAGAAAACACCCAGACCAATACAAACAATCATTCGAGTTTTTTTTTAAAGTTAGATTGTACGGGCAACACTGTGCCTGCTTACTGTGCAATACACAATTGCCGACACATGCAATTTCACTTCTATACATTTCACCTCATTATATTTATTTTAGTAATAAAAATCAGTGTTCGAGTAGCATTCAACCAAGGCGGTTTTATTTAACAAAAACCCCTCATCAATCAATCAATAGCATTATCACGGAACTGTGGGCTTAAACCCCCACAATGATAATGGAATGATGCTCCTGCCTGCGCTAACGGTTTACGCTGGCGGGGCACCAGTGGAGGATGATAGGATGAACATGAAGTCAGATCAGTTAGCCCAACGTGACAAATTCACCAGGACATGTATCGCGATGGTTTCCAGGGGGAACCGCGTGGAGGTCGATCTGACATGGTACATTGCTAGCAATGGGACCATCAGTCCACATTACTAACAACCCCCCCCCCCCCCTAATCATTCGAGTTAATCATTTTTGCATGAAATAATACTGCATGCTAATTCGATAGACCACTGAAGCCGACCAATCTGAACACTTCGTAATCTGCTTTAAGTGAAAACTTGTGGTATATTGAAATGTTTGTGGCATTTTTTTTTATTTCTAGGGCGTTGTACCACCCATGTCCAGATCCGAGGCGGACTTTGATCCTGGTTCTAAGTATCATATCATTTCTGACCAAGTAAGTATTTAATAAGACTTTAATAAATATTTTCTTTCTTTCTTTTCTTCTAATATACCTTCACAACACTAGTACCAGTAGAGTTATTCTGAAAGCATCATTTACGAATTCGAAAGCTGAATCCGCGCTGAGATTGTACATTGGTACATTATAAAAATCGACAGCGACTGCAACACACACTCAAGAGCGGGATGGAGGTAATAAAACAGGCACTAGTGATGTTTTTAGAAATACAGTGGACCCGCAGTAATCCGGCCCCTGTCTAATCCGGCCCCCCTTGTAATCCGACATTGTCTATTATTTGTTATTGAATATTACTTTGACAATATACTTCAGAGTGCATATACATACATACATATATAACATAGAATCTTATCACTGGATCTGTAATTTATCGGATTGCAAGATACTCTTTTGTAAAAAATTCCGGACTATAAGCAGAGGACCCTTAAGCAGCACTCTATAATCCCACAAATACGATGGTCCGACACTGCCCTGCAAAACGTTTGTCGGATAACCGGGGGTCCACTGTATATGTATATAATATAAAGATTCATCATTGGATCTATAATTTGTCGGATTACAAGGTACTCTTTTGTAAAAAAATTCGGACTATAAGGGGTCTTAGGCAGTACTCTATAATCCGACAAATTCTATAGTCCGACACTGCCCTGCAAAATGATTGTCGGACTACCGGGGGTCCACTGTATAGGCAAACTCGATCACTTGTCAAATATAAAGTCCACTGAGCTACAGTAGGCACTTTATATTTGACAAGTGATACGCATGCCTCGAGTGAAGGTGTGGGTGAAGTGAGATGATGTTTATATACCACTTCACTCATCGCTTCATTTATTCACTTCTTGCTTACAGAATACCAGTACAGATGGAGTAATTAGAACGATTGTTATTAATTAAGCATAATGTAATGCCCTCAATATAATACTGTAGCATTTTGTGGAAGTTTTAAATATACTGCCACGAAATGCTGGTAAAATTTACCTCTCCCGATACAATATACTATTCGGTCAGTTTCATCTTTTAAACATCATTTAAAGAAATTTAATTGAGTTTTTTGCCAGTTCCTAAAATTATAACATAAAACAATTTTACATTCATAAGCAGCTAAAGTGTCCTACGTGCTCTTTTGAATAGATTTTTTTTATATAAATAATTACACAATTAGAAAATTGTCTATTAAAAAGAGCAACACACAAGTTTCTTGCTCATTCTTCTTGTGATGAATCTGCGTTCCGAATGAGTGGTAGAATCAAAATATGATTATTCAAGTGTTTGTACTGAGTTTGTTTTGTTTGAATGAAGCTTATTTTTATTTTTATTTCTATTTCAATAATAAGTAAGAGGCATGCAATAATGTCTTGCTGTCCCCAAGTATCGTTTAGAAAAAGTCAATAGGTCTTTTATGGGAATAGGTATAAAAAAATTACAATAAGATACCAAAGGATATATTGGAATTAGCCTTAAATAAATTCAAAACATCTGTTAAATCATATTTACTGAGCAAAGCCTATTACTCACTAAACGGTTACTTGAATGACGAGCGTGCATGGCAATAGTTGTTCATGCACGGGATTTTCATTTAATGTTAGACATAGACACCTATTAAATACCTATACATTGTAAATAAACTGGCTTTTAAAAAAAAGGAAATCAATTGAGTTTCTTGCCAGTTCTTCCCAATTGGATCTATATACCGAAATAGACGGTAGGGAAAAAAAATAAAATTACAATATAGAACTTGATGTTCATAAGCGGCTAAAATGTCCTACATGAATAAATGATTTTTGAATTTTGAATTTTGAATGAACATCGAAACCGATACGTATTCACATTTAGTGCAATCAGATAATATTGTCAGCGCTATGAATTTTAAGTTTTTCTACAAAAACAATATTATATTAATTAGAATATTATTATTTCACAGGAGTACATCAAATACTTCCTAGCCACCATCTTGGAGTTCCAAATCTTCGAGCAACTGTGCACAGCGGCCGGGCATGTGGGACATCTGCATGAATGTGATGTATATAGAAGCAGGGAGGCTGGAAGAATACTCAGGTAACATCCATCATCACCATCATCTGCTTCTTCCTTATCCCATTTATTTGTGGTCGTCGTAATATGTTTTTCTCTTCCATTCATCCCTGTTCGCAGTCATCTCGTTATTTATTTCCTTTCTTACCATATCATCTTTCACACAGTCCATCCATATCTTTTTCGGACTTCCTCTACCCTTACCTACATTCATATGTAACACCTTCCTTAAAATATTATCTTCATTCCTACGCATTACGTGGCCATACGTGATCTCTATCACGTGATACGTGATCTTTAAAACTATGCAACGGATTTTGAGGCGGTTTTTTAATACATAAAGTGATTCTAGAGGAAGGCTTATATATATAATACATGTACACCCGTGCAAAGCCCGGGCGAGAAGCTGGTTATACAGTATAAAACAAAGTCGCTCTCGCTGTCTGTCCCTATGTATACTTAAATCTTTAAAACTACGCAACCTGATTTTGAAATGGTTTTTTTAAGTAGATAGAGTGATTCAAGAGGAAGGTTTATATATATAATACATGTACACCCGTGCGAAGCCGGGGCGAGTAGCTAGTATATTATATATCTCCCTTTTTATATGTATAATATACGTACATGAAGATAATGTCTGAAATTGTTGTTTTTTTAGTGAAATAATGCAGCCCGGGTCATCGAAATCAGCATCAGAAATTATCAGAACCATGACGAAAGGAAAAACCAATAGGATTTCACCGGAGTCGCTTGTGAAGTAAGTTTTTTAAATCTTTATTAATTTAGTTCCATTAGTCCATTTTTGGTACGAAATTCCAAGGTACGATACCTTACAAATGTGTTTAATTACTCACTAAAAAAATACAACTACTTTTGTTATTGTAAAGATATTTTATTCTTTTTCTAAACTAATACTACAGAATGAGAGTCCCTTGCCAAGTACGTCAACACTCACCTTCACCAAATTAAAACTTAAAAACGTAAATATAAATATAGGTTATTTCAATATCACAAACAGACACTCCGATTTTATTTATACATATAGATGTATAGATTAATCGAATGAACGTCGATTTTATGTATGTTTTAAACAATTATAATTTTTTTTTTTTTTGGAATAATATCCTTTTATTCAAATATACATAATTCCTCAATATCAATTTTCTAAACAATTACAAAAAACAATCATTGTAATCCAACGCGGCACATCGAGGCAGCGTACCCAAGATACTGGCAGCGTTGCCTCTTTGAATGGCCATACTTAGCCTTTGGGCAAAATAGCTACCAGCTCTCGGGTCACAAGTAACCTCAATGAGCCGCGCTGAAATATATTTAATAAATAATTTATTTATAATTAAGAGATAATGTTACAATAATTTTACAGGTACTTCAGACCTCTGGAACTGTGGCTTCGAGTGCAAAACCGTGATGAGTCGCTCATAGGCTGGAGCTCCAACTACCACGACGTCGCTTTGTTCGCCCCACAGAGGGCCGGCAGCGACAATACATTTGCATCCACTTCTATATTATGTATTACTATATTGTATCATATGTTATAGATATTTGAATAAAATTAACTTTTAATTAAACTGTTTCTTGGATTTTTGTTCAGGAAGATGTCCGTGGATGCAAATTTTGATATATTTATAAAGCTTATAATCAAATTCTAAATTGTGCCTTCATTGTTTCGGTTTCCCTTTCTGGCCCCAGTTTGTAGTGTTTTTCTTTTTCATATACTATCTTTTGCATGCAGCTTCGCTCGCGTTAATTTATCAAAATCCTTTCTTAGGTGATGCCTACGTCAATACTTACGTCATAGTAGCTTTATGCATGCAAAGTCTCAGCCCGATCGGTTTAAAATTGACAAAGTTTCATACAAACTTTCATCCCCTATTTTATTCCCTTGGGGGTAGAATTAATCAAAATCCTTTCTTGGCGGATGCCTACGTCATAACATCTACCTGCATGCCAAATTTCAGCCCGATCCGTCCAGTGGTTTGGGCTGTGCGTTGATAGATCACTATGTCAGTCACCTTTGAGTTATATATATAATATATATAGATTAGCTGTGCCCGCAACTTCATCCGCATGGAGAAGAGACCTTGACCAAATAAATAAAAAAATTAATAATCTAACCCAAAGATCCAAAGAAAAAAGTTTTTCGATCAAAATACGTAAATTACTATTTTCCATACAAACTTTCATCCCCTAATTCAATTTAATCCCCTTAAACGTAAAATGTTTACAAACCTTGAATATCATATTTATTTATTATCAACAGCCTAAAAAATAGGTTTCAAGCTACTAGCTTTAAAAATGACGACACTTGCATACAACCTTTCATCTCCCCTTTCTGTTGTAGTAATAAGAAAAAAGACTTTGTAAAACGGAGAAAATATATTAATAATAGGCAACTAACATATTAGGAACAGAAAGAATGAATTAAAGTATCAAAACAAGAATCTAAAAAAAGGAACTATAAATTTCAAAATACAAATTTAGCATATAAAATACATATCTGATTAACCAGTTACAACATTTTCTACCCCTTACAAGAAGGCTCCTGTCATCTTCACAGGAGGCCCAACGCCCTTCCGACCGCCATCTAGACTCAAGCTAAGCAGAGCTTGTGTTATGGATGCTAGACGAATGGTGCAAATACTTAGATATTTTTTTTTTGTAAATACATAATACATATATAAAACACTAAACAAGATAAAAACAATAAACAATCATATTCATGACTACAAATGTTTGCACCATGCTAGAAATCGAATCGCGACCATCAGAAGTAAACCCACTAGACCACTGAGACCTAATAATTTTATTCGAAAAAAGATTATTTCTATTTCTAAATTGATATTTTATTTTATAGAGAATGTCATTTTCGAAGCGACTATATATTTAAACTCAAAATAGAAACTCTCAAACTGCAAATTACGGCCGTGAAACAATTTCTAATGATAGTGAACTGTACGCGGCGCACTGGTATACCCAAATGGGTACCAAACCACATTTATGTACTCGCATTTCACTTTCACCTTTCTACCTGTATAGGTAGGCTTCGCAGGAAGTTTCGAAAATACTGGTTTTTTAATTATTTTTTTTAATGTGCAAACATTTTTAATGGACGTTAATGGAATGATGCTCCCGCCTGCGCTGATAGTTTACGCTGGCGGGGCACCAGTGGAGGATGATAAGATGAGCATGAGGTCAGGTCAGTTAGCCCATAATAACAAATTCAAGAGGAATGTATCTTTTAACGGATGATAATGGAATGGTGCACCCGCTTCGCTAATAGTTTACGCTGGCGGGGCACCAGTGGAGGATGATAAGATGAGCATGAGGTCAGGTCAGTTAGCACATAATAACAAATTCCCGAGGAATGTATCTTTTAACGGATGATAATGGAATGGTGCACCCGCTTCGCTAATAGTTTACGCTGGCGGGGCACCAGTGGAGGATGATAAGATGAGCATGAGGTCAGGTCAGTTAGCACATAATAACAAATTCCCGAGGAATGTATCTTTTAACGGATGATAATGGAATGGTGCACCCGCTTCGCTAATAGTTTACGCTGGCGGGGCACCAGTGGAGGATGATAAGATGAGCATGAGGTCAGGTCAGTTAGCCCATAATAACAAATTCAAGAGGAATGTATCTTTTAACGGATGATAATGGAATGGTGCACCCGCTTCGCTAATAGTTTACGCTGGCGGGGCACCAGTGGAGGATGATAAGATGAGCATGAGGTCAGGTCAGTTAGCACATAATAACAAATTCCCGAGGAATGTATCTTTTAACGGATGATAATGGAATGGTGCACCCGCTTCGCTAATAGTTTACGCTGGCGGGGCACCAGTGGAGGATGATAAGATGAGCATGAGGTCAGGTCAGTTAGCACATAATAACAAATTCCCGAGGAATGTATCTTTTAACGGATGATAATGGAATGGTGCACCCGCTTCGCTAATAGTTTACGCTGGCGGGGCACCAGTGGAGGATGATAAGAAGAGCATGAGGTCAGGTCAGTTACCCCATAATAACAAATTCCCGAGGGATTTAACTTTTAACGGATGATAATGTAAAGGTGCACCCGTTTCGCTAATAGTTTACGCTGGCGGGGCACCAGTGGAGGATGATATGATGAGATCAGACCAGTTAATCCCTCGTCCAAAAATCTACAAATATTACCAAGCTGAAGAGGAGACGCCACCTCACATCCTATGTGGTTGTAGCCCACTCATGCATAAATGAAATATCTGCTTTGGAAAGTTTACACTCTATCCTGAGGAGATAAAAACCATCGCTCCTAAGAATATCCTGCAATTCTTGTCCCAAGACAGTCCTGACAGATCTAGGTAGCAAACTTTGAAAAACAGATAGCATAATAGATCTATGTAGGTAGCTGTTCTACAGGGTAGACCTGTACAACCCTGTAGCACCTAAAAATATCCCTAACCCTTCTATTAAAAAAATAGTCCATCGTGGCAAATTAACCAGGAATTTGTCATGATGGTATCCAGGGGAAACTACGTGGAGGCCACTTGACATGGTACATTGCTAGCTATAAGTTTATTAGTCCACATTTCTAACTATCCCTTTCCCAAAAATATTAGGGTTGCCATGACCGTCACACGACGACATCATATTTTATTTATTCATTTATTTCAGGCTACTAATGGCGTATATTATGAATACCTTATAGACTCAGGACAATTCACACAGCGCCATCTAGATCCAAGTTAAGCTATCTAAAGCTTGTGTTATGGGTACTAGATAACTGATACATATACATAGATATTTTTTTGTAAATACATACATATTACACATAGAAAACACCCAGACCGATACATACAATCATACTCATGAATACAAATGTTTGTGCCGTGCGAGAAATCGAACCCTGGACCATCAGAAGTAAAGCGGAGTGCTAGACTGCTAGACCACCGAGGTCTAATCTCAAAACTAACATAGATATCTCGTCGTCTAAACTCAAGACTAACATACATATGTAATAATAATATAAATATAAATTGTCTATATGGTCACGGCACTGACGACGGCAATCTGCCACGGTAGCGCCGATACACCACACCCTTCGGCCAGTAGTCCTCCTTCATGACGGTGGGCAGCAAGTTGGTGGGGACCCGGGCCACGAACGCTTTGAAGCTCGCGTTGTGGCTCGATGCCAACTGCGTCACCCTCAATATCAGGTCACTTCTGGTCTGTATGTAGTCGACAATGTCCTGATCCTTGGTGTCGTAGTGTAGACGGGACAGGCACTTTACTATGAAATAGAAATAGAAGTAGAAATAATCTTTATTCAAATAAACTCATTACAAGCACTTTTGAATAGTCATATTTTGATTCTACCACTCATTCGGAATGCAGATTCATCACAAGAAGAATGAGCAAGAAACTTGTATGTTGATCTTTTTAATAGATGCTTTTTTTATATAAATAATTACAGTATAACAAGTAAGAGGCATGCGATAATCAACATAAAAGTCGCTACGCACTCATTATTAATGTAATCAGATAATATTGTCAGTGCTATAGATTTAAAGTTTTTCTATAAAAACATTATTATCGTTAACGAATTCTTCAATTTTATAGTAAGCTTTTTTACAAAGGAACTGTTTTATTTGACATTTAAATTTTTTTTCTGGCAGATTTATAACAGACTCTGGTATTTTATTGTAAAACCTTACGCAATTGCCATAAAACGAATTACTAACTTTAGCCAAACGACATTTAGGTAAAATCAGTTTGTTATTGTTACGTAAGCTTTTATTAGTGCAATCACTAACTCTTTTGAAACTGTCTATATTCCTTCTGACATAGATGATATTTTCATAAATGTATTGAGAAGCTATGAATAGAATAGTATAGAAAATCCTTTATTTAAATAAATTTATAAGTGCTTAACTTTTAAATAGTCCTAACAATTTTTTTTATCTACCGCTCATTCGGAAAGCTGTCTCATCACAAGAAGAACAAGCAAGAAACTTGCGTGTTGCTCTTTTAAATAATCATTGTAAGTTCACATTTTTCAAGTCGACACGTGTGAATACAAACTACCAACTAGCACTATTTGATTAGGGTCAAATATAAATCTAAATATATATAACTCAAATGTGTGAAAGATGATATGAATAAAAGAAGAGTATGTTTAGATATGACGATTGATAGAGATCAGTGGAAGAGAATGACATACTGCGCCGACCCTAAATAATGGGATAAAGGCAAGGCAATGATGATATATAACTCAATCATAGGTGACTGACGTAGTGATCTATCAACGCACAGCCCAAACCACTGGACGCATCAGGCTGAAATTTGGCATGCAGGTAGATGTTATGACATCCTAATCCTAAAGATAGGATTTTGATTAATTCTACCCCCCAAGGGATAAAATAGGGGATGAAGGTTTGCATGAAACTTTGTCAATTTTAAACCGATCGGGCTGAGACTTTGCATGCATAAAGCTACTATGACGTAGGCATCCCCTAAGAAAGGATTTTGATAAATTCCACCCCTAATACATTTTTTCCTT